AATCCTCGCCGAGTAAGGAAGCCAAATAACTTAAACGCGATCTCTCGCGCGAGTGTAGAAGCGTTTGCAACGAACGAGCCGGGACGAGGAGCAGGGGGAGAGGAGGGAAGGAGGTGGAGGCGAAGAAGGAGGAGACTCCGAAAAGTAATGTGAGAAATACGACGAGGGCCGAGGCGCGGGTCAAGAGGTGCAGTCGAAACGCGGGCCAGCGGCCGCGGAGGGCACGGCCGGGGGGGGGGAGGGGGAGAACGAGAGAGGGCGGAAAGGACCGGCAAGAAGATATTTGGAACGCTCAGGAAAGCGAGAGATATCGGCGGAATAACCGAAGAATCTTATGCTCATTTCGCGAGAGTCGGCCGCCGCCGCCGCCGCCGCCGGCAATTCCGTATCGGACTCGAGATCGCATTGTCACCACCGCCATTCAGCCCCCAGCCCCCCCGTCCCTCTTGTCCTATCGCCTGCCCTCTGCGCTCTCGAGTACAGCATCTCTGACACTCGCGCGGCACTAAATCCAGCACAATGGCGCGGGTGTAACGCTATATAGCGTGTTCCGCGGGTCGATGCCGCTTTACCTCGGCCGCTCTCGCTTCGGATGCCTTTACCTGAGGTGTCCGTACGCTGCGGATCCCCCCCCCTCTTCCCGTTCCCCGCGGTCGCCGTCGAGCGTACGCTCGAGCGAATAAATCGCGAGAGTTCGGCGCACCGAAAGGCTCGCGAGGCAGCGGCCAACGAACGTTCGGACGAAATTTAATCATATTTATCGCGGAGGGAGGGGGGGAGTGAAGATGGACGAAGACTTGTTTTCCTCGTACACCGGACACCGACCGACCCGGGAAACGTGGAAACGACAAGGAGAAGCCGGTTGCTTCTCTTCTCCGGCGGAGCGCGCGAGTGGCGCGACGATGCGGGCCGACGCACGATCGATGACCGATGAGCTCGATGACGCGTGACTCGATGACGAACAAAATTTAGGAGACTTCTTGGCTCGGTAAAATTTAGGAGCCGCGGACATCGGACGATAAATCGGATACTGTGTAAATCGCGCATTCGTCGGGATGACGTCTCCGTCGGCGGCCGCGGATCCACGAGGACTTCCGATCGAACGCAATTCGCGCGGAGGGGGGGGGGAGGGACCTCAATAGCGAATAGACTCAGGAGAGCAAATCGCGAGAACGTGACGCGTCGTGCCGCGATGTGACGAACGTGCGCGAGATCGTTCAAGCATGGCCGCGATCGGGAGAAAGAGAAGAAGGGCAAAGCATTCTCGCCTTTTCCTCAACGATGACATCGTAAAAGAATAGGCGAGAAATCGCGAGAGCGCAGAATCTCGCTAACGACTCGAGGGAGGGGGGAGGGGGGGACCTCGCTCATGGGCGAGGTCGCCACGTCGCGGAATATTGTCCGAATTCCCTCGAGCGAATCTCTCAACGGCTACGGGGCGAATACGACGGCGCGATCGAAATTAATGACCGCGAATGCATAAAACCGAACGCATCTTTTATACAGGAGAGAGCGGGAGATTTTCGCTGCGCTTAAAAGCGCCGAGAAGCGAGCGCCGGCCCCGTTTTTCCGGGAGGTACTTTTTAATGGAATACAGAGCGCGAGGCGCGTTCATCGAATCTTCCGTCATATTCTTCACAACGTAGCCGCTCACAGCCGGAACTTTCGAATCGAGCGCCGATCGATCCTGTCTAGCCGAGTCGTGAAAGCGCGCAAACTCTCTCGGCAAAAGTACAGCGGCTGCTCCGCAAGGATCATCAAGCAGTGCTCGGGAGCGGTTTCCGCGACCGCTCGTTCTCCTGGAGGAGCAGGCGAGGTTCTCGCGGTGTAAAATAAACGCGCGCGGACCAAGTCGAATCGAGCGGTCGTCATCTCTCGCGTGATTTTCCGCGGGAATCGGAAAATTCCCTCGCCTGTTCCCGACAAGTTCCGCGCAGTCGCTGAATACTGGCTGGATTTAAGGGATGTCGGAGATGATCCTCCCGCGAAAGAGAAAATCTATCGGTGTCGCTCGTGCGAAGAATTCCTGAGATCCGCATTCCCTGTCCGCTGCGCTCGCAATTGGAAGCTTCGCGTACGCGCGCTCCTGAGTTTCGTCGTAAATAATCGGTGAGCTCGTATATTACTTAACATCGGCCACATGAAAATTACACACACTCGGCGCAACTCTCGCCGCGCAAACTTGGCGAGGCGAGGCGAACAACGCCGCATCAGGATGCAACTCGTGGTGCACGAGAGATTGCGTCTCCTCTGCATTTTTGTCCGGATTACATTCCTCTGCCGATTGTCCTCTTCGCGATATATTCGAAAGTTGACTTTGAAGATTCACGGCGCAGTCGAGAGCGTCGGGAAAAATCCGACAAACGATCGATCCGCGTTTCCCGCCGCGAAACGTGTAGCCGATGTTTTATTATCTAAAAGATATCCAATGTACACGACTAGCACGTCGATATATCCTGCTGTAAGGAGACGCAAGGCTCTCCGGTCTGTAACCTACTTGCACACGCGAGAAGGAGAAGGAGAAGGAGAAATAGAGAGACGGGGCCAGAAACCGCTTGGAGAACTCGCGTGCGATAAACGTCGATTCGCTCGGGAGAAATTTCGGGAGCAACACGCTCTCTACTCTCTCTCCCCCGCTCTCCCTCCGTCCCTTTTTCTTTCTCTCTCCTAATTCCTCTAGGCGGATAGAGGCGGCGGCGGAGGATAGCTTGATACAGGAGGAAGCGATTCCAATTCCGACGGTAAGCGCTTGGCCGTGGAATCGCTACCAGAGGTATAGTCCTGAATGTTTAAGGGGGCGCACCGCAATGTAGCCCTTATTCGCGGCGCATTCCCACGACGGCCGTAACGACCCTTCGCGAATCTTCAGGGCCACTGAAGATGCCGAGCCGCTTACGACCGACGCGAATCGCCCGTCAAGATGTCACGGAGATTTATTGACCGGCCGAAATTCGAGTGGACATGCAACGCGCACGCGGACGCCTCGCTCTATCGCCGGAATGCGTCTTAATCGCGCATACGGACGGACTTTTGCGGGGAATTAATTTACCCGCTTCGATACGCGTCGTATACATACGCGATACGTACGAGATATCGCCTCTTTCTTTGTCGCCTTCTCTCTCTCTCTCTCTCTCTCTCTCTCTCTCTCTCTCTCTCCTCTCTCTTCTCTCTCTCCTCTCTCTCTCTCTCTCTCTCTCTCTCTCTCTCTCTCTCTCTCTCTCTCTCTCTCTCTCTCTCTCTCTCTCTCTCTCTCTCTCTCTCTCTCTCTCTCTCTCTCTCTCTCTCTCTCTCTCTCTCTCTCTCTCTCTCTCTCTCTCTCTCTCTCTCTCTCTCTCTCTCTCTCTCTCTCTCTCTCTCTCTCTCTCTCTCTCTCTCTCTCTCTCTCTCTCTCTCCCTCCCTCTCTCTCTCTCTCTCTCTCTCTCTCTCTCTCTCTCTCTCTCTGCCTTTGTCTCTATTTATCTATCTATTTATCTTTCCGTGCCACGTCGGAGATACTTCCGAAGAAAAACGCGACACACGATATAAAATTCTTATACTTGGACTCTCGACCTCGTTTCCCCGAATCCTCCTTCTCGCTCGCTCTCCCTTTCTCTCTTTCCCGGAAAGTGGAGGCCATTAAAAAGTGTATTAAGTTTAATCGAGCGTGGTTTTTCGTGCTTACAGACTTATTGGATCTTAAGTCTTGAAACTTTAAATTTTCAATTTATTTCGATCTTTCGTCGCGAGGGAGCGGAACCTGCGCGTGGCTTAATCGACTTATCGATTTAACAGGGCGTACCAAGAACGTCCCGTTGACCTGATTAACGGACATTAATAAGAGATCGAAGACGGGGCGTCCTGCGATAGCGAAAAGTCGCTCGTCTCGGATGGAAAAAAGTTGGATACAATTCTGCAATTAAATCTCTCGCTCGGACTCGCCGCCCTTGCTCTCCTCCTCCTCCTCCTCCTCCTCGTTCTTCTCCTTTTTCGTTTTTACTTTCCTTTTCACCGCGCGAGCCAACCCTCCTTGCTGCTAAGACTTCTTGAAATAATGCAAAGCGGCTCTTTCAGACGCGGCACCCCCTCTCGTAGCGCGTCTCGAGATCTTAATCTTCTTCAAACTTACGAATCTGCTTGCGCGCCCGCGCGGTTTGTTGCCGCTTTAAGACTACACGAGGGAGAAAGGGAGAGAGAGAGAGGGAGGGAGAGAGAGAGAGAGAGAGAGAGAGAGAGAGAGAGAGAGAGAGAGAGAGAGAGAGAGAGAGAGAGAGAGCGACGAAATGGTGTCTCCCTTGTCGGATTACAGCACGCTCGTTCTCAGGTGCTCTCCCGGGAGATGGAATCGTCTTTATCCTCTCGCCGCGTGTGCGCGAGTGAATGCGTACGTATCCTGCGTAGAAATTAAAGTACGCGCGCGCACGATAAAGCCGGAGTCTAAATTGCAATTAATTAAATCGTTAACCACCCTGCGCTTCTTTTACGATCGCGGTAACTGCTCGGGGATGTTCAAATGTCTCGGGGTGATCTTTAGAAATTAATAGAGGGCGAGACAGGACGAGGGAGAGGGAAAGAGAGAGAGAGAGAGAGAGAGAGAGAGAGAGAGAGAGAGAGAGAGAGAGAGAGAGAGTGAAGGACAGAGTAAGCTAGGGTGGAAGGAAACGTAAAGTCAAAGCGGGACGAAAGGGAGCAACCCTTCCCTGTGTACTCAATTATATTGTATATTTTGTATGTGTGTGTTATACATCTTATTATTATAAACCTTCCACCACATTATTCTGTAATAGATCTTCCAAGGAATTTCGGGTGATTTTTGCCCGGCTAAAATACTGATCATTCGTCGCAATTAATCAGTTTTCGACATCCTGTGCGAGGAAACAACTCGCGCCGGCAAGAATAAAGCCGAGGGTAAAATATTCGTGTGGTACAAACATGATAGATAGAAGTAAGCGCCGCGGAAACTTTCGCGACACGACACGACCCGACACGATTAAAACGCGCCCCGTTCGCTTTTCTGTTTCAGGTAAGCAGCCGTCGTCGCTACCGCTCTCACGTCGAGACAGCCCCGAGATAGGTAGGATCAATTTGACGGATTATAGCGGCGCGCGTCTCGCGCTCTCGCTAGACTCTTTCTCCTAGGGAGCTCTCGTCCGCGAACAACGGACAACGCCTCGAGCGTGTTTGACACGTTTCCTTTAAGGTGGCCGAGCTACCGTCCTGATGCGGGCAGACGGATTCGGCGTCCCTAGCCTAATTACAGGGCAGCTCTCCGAGCACCTGCGCCTCTTCTCCCGTTTCGTTTTCGTGCCTTCGCCACGGACACCCGTGAGCCCGCCCGAGACGGTGGATATGTGAGAAACGCGATGATCCAGTCCTCCCCGACCGACCGAGTCCGGTCCGGGCAACAGCGTTGTCCTTACGGCCTCGGTGCCCCGGGGCACCGAAATTATTTACAGCTCCTACTATGTTAACTACTGTAAAATGGGGCCGGATTGTAATAGCAGGGGAGGCAACGAACGTCGCGCCGCGCCGCCGCGGCAGATCTGGATTGCAGTGTTACTCGATACAACCGAAGAAACGATTTATATCGGCCCTTTAGACATTCAAAGTCAAAGTGGTCTGATGAGAGAGAGAGAGAGAGAAACTCTCTCTCTCTCTCTCTCTCTTTCTTGTCTCTTTTGGTATAAGTCCCTCTTTTGCTGCAATTTTCGTGCGAGATTGATTTTCGTGTAAGCCTCTTATCTGCCGTGCGTATATTTAAACCCACAGAGATGTGCTCGACAAAGTACTCCCGTGGCTTTTATAGCTTTATAGCTCTCGTGATCTTCGAGCGGGATGATTACAAGGCAGGAGAGGATTACATAATACATACCCGTCTCTTTATTAGCAGTCTCCTTTCTATGTATTTCTAACGTTCTCCTCGAGAGTTTACGGTTACTCGGATTGACCGTATGATGATGCGTTAAGGGGAAGACGCGCGCGCGGATGCAACGAGGAAACGATACAATAATAAAAACGGAATAACGAGAAACACTCGTCGTCCTATCGTTCTCAGCATGAGGCCCAGGGGCACTCGTCTCCTTGTGCGCGCACGCTACGAGACGGTACTGGCACGGTACACTCGGTAGAATTCAATCACGCGTTCTGAAGAACTTTCCGAGGTGAACCAAAGACTCCGAGCGGAATCTCTAATTTAATTTCGCGAAAGTAAAACATTTGCGAGCGTGGTTTTTACGTTTATACGGGGGAGGGGGAGAGAGATGGGGGGAGAGAAAGGGAGAGAGACGGAAGCTGAAGTTGAAAGAAATTTAAATCACACTTTAAATCAAAGAAATGTAAATCACACTAGAGGAGACTATTTTATATTTATAATCCGGCATTAATGGTGCGCGGCGTAGAGTTATTACGTCCGATTTTCTGATAAATATTTAATTCGTAGGAAATTTTCGCGAAATTGCGGTCAAGAATTTATTACTCGCGACGGGACTCTCTCTCTCTCTCTCTCTCTCTCTCTTTCTCAAGCGTCTGAAAAGTCGCTCGAGACTCATTCGAATGACGACGGCCGCAATTATACATGCGCTTCGTACCGTTCGTGTTCGGTAAAAGGTCCCGCTCCGCTTATTATTTATGTATTGAAGGCGGTCTGGCCGAAAATGGCCGGCAGATAAAATCGATACAGACAGCAACGAAACTCCGAGTTTCCGGTCCGAACGAGTTTTCAGTTTGTTGCTTCCAACTTTTTACGCCGGCGACTCGCGCGCGCCGTCGCCGCGCTGCCCACGCAGTTCTTCGGCACACACGTATCGAAGGGCGATACTTCGGCGATTACTTCGGCAACAACGGCCATCGTGATAGGGCGCGTAATAGGACGGGGAAACAACAGGCGCAACACCTGCGACAAAAGCCCCGTCGGACGACAGCAGTGAAATTACCTTTGAGAATAAAGGGAACCGCGCTCGTACTATGCGGCACGAGTTTAGGCGCTGGAAAAGTTTTCAGTTGCACAACGCTCTCTTTTTCCCTCCTCCTTTCCTCGCTCTCTTGCTCCCCTTCTTTCCTCGGCTACGACTCATCAGCGAAACTGGGATCACTCACGCACATACGCGCGCACGTCGCGAATAATTAGTCTACTGCCTATCGACAGCGTCTCATTTTCACGCGATGCCTCCTCCGGGCGAAGCAATTCTCGTCGTTCTCGCCTCTTTCGCAATTTCCATCACGCGAGACGCGAGGCTGGCGTAACGAGCAGTTTCACGCTGCTCCATGGTCACATCGAATTTCTCGGGACGTCGCGGCGCGGCGCGGCGAAGGGGAAGTCGAGTCCGAAGTATGCGACGCGACGAGACGAGGCGGTGGCGGAAAAATGCGCTCGTTCTTTAATTAACTCGCGTCGCGCGCCATCGAGCTGGCCGACTTTATGAGTCACCGCCGCGGAAACACGTGCCACGTTTATTAGCACGTTGGTCTTTGACCCCCGTCTCGGTGTCGCCCGTTGCCCGCCACGCAGCAACGAGCGCCGGATCTGTGCTGGAAACTCGATACGCGAAAGGCTTAATATTGTTTTCGATGGACGTTGCCATGGACGCGCTGCGGTCTCTTCCTTCGCTGCGCCGCGCTGCGGTTATTGCAAAAGTTGCAAGCTTATCAATAAAATCCTGCAACGCGAGATGTGTGTCTCGTGGACGAGGATGCAAGCGCGCGTGTGTCGATCGATCGCGAAGTCGCCGCGAACACACAAACATCCGAGACGTACGTACAATCGCCGTTGCAGGTAAATAGATACCCGAAAAGCGGTCAATTTCAACCGGGCGATCAATTTTATTGTATTCGAGCGAAGTCAAGGGGAAATTCGCTCGAAGCGATATCCAGCAAGCGCGGACGGGGCTCTTTCTTCTCGCGGCTCTCGCATCGTTTCGGCCGAAACGTGCGGTTATTCTGATTCACCTTCGCGGGACCCGCGAAAAAGCCCGCTGAAATACACACGCCATGAAGAACGGCCGCCGTCTCTCGCTGTCGCGCGCGATACCCCAAAACCGTATTCTCTCGCTAACGAGACTCCATTTGTCGCGCGCGACGACAGACGAGCGCGTTAATAATGACAGGATAATTAAACATCGTAACGAACTGGCTCGCGCGCGCGCGCGCGATGAAAGAATTACGAGGTCGCTCTCGATGCTCGATTCGTCGGCAAGTATCGAATCACCCCCTGGCGCGTCGCGTCGCGGCGCGCTGCACCTGGCCGGCGATAGGTGCGATGGAGAGAGGACAAGAGGGAGAGAGAATGAGAATGAGAGAGAGAGAGCGAGAGAGAGAGAGAGAGAGAGAGAGAGAGAGAGAGAGAGAGAGAGAGAGTGAGAGTGAGAGTGAGAGAGAGAGAGTGAGAGAGAGAGGCGAGACGGCAGGGGTGCAGTGTCGCGTTTCAATATTTACGGGTTGAAATATTCACGAAATCACACCGAGGGCGGCGAATGTGCAGGGGGTATGACTTGCTGGACGCGGGTGGCGGCGAGGCGCGCGCGTCCATTCGGATAACGCGCCGCGGCCTGTTCGCACGAAAATTATATACATCAAGAGATGTCGGCGTCGTGAATATTTGATCGGCCGTTACCGTTGCGCGCGCGCGCACGTGCACGTCATCAATTATTCCGCCGCGGTGCTTTTTCGTAGGCGACGGTGCACGATAACGCGTGTCCACGCCGTGACAGATGTCCATTACTGCGCGAGTAGTACGGCGATTCCGAGCGACGATAATTGAGCCGAGAGCGAGAGATAGATAGAGAGAGATAGAGAGCGAGAGAGAGAGAGAGAGAGAGAGAGAGAGAGAGAGAGAGAAGAGTAGTGCGCGCGCGGGATGAACCGCGAGAGCCGCGATGCTCGTCCGAAGGACGATCGTTCGTCGTCGCCGGCGCGGCCGCGCGCATTTTCTCACACTTCTTCGAGTATTTCGTTTTTCCGTACACGCGACCTTGTTATGTCTCGCTTGCAAATAGAACGCGCTGAATCCGCCGACAATTCGGGCGACCATTAATGATTCACCGTGTACTACGCTACGTCGCGTCGCGTCGCGGCTTCACGCGCGTCTTGCTCCTCCCCGCGCCCCTGTCGTCTCTCCGGGACGGGCTTTTAATTTATGACACGTGTCTCTGGGGAGGTGTACGTGTGTGCGCGGTACGCTTGTGAAGAGGACGCGCCAACACCGTCTCTGCGGTGTGACGGTTCCTTATTGCCGATCGATTGCTTTGGATCGATTCGTCGGAATTCGTCGAGGTTGACCAAGTTGCCTTTGTTGTCACTATTATTGTATATCGCGTACGTCCGAAAGAGAGGAATTACTTATTCGTGAAGGGATGAATCGTGTTGATTCTCAGCGTATTTAGCGACGTATCCGAAAAATCGATACTATCGGGGAATTGATTACGACGACCGTCAATTAGTCCGTCCGGGAATGTTAAATCAATCCCACGGGCGGCAAAATATTGCGGGACAATCGTTGTTGCCGTTTTCACATTGTACTCGTTACATCAAGAGTGATAAAGTCACAATGGGAAATAGCCTTACTTTTTACGTTTCATATATTATACATCGAGAGCAATTGTGTGTGAATTTTTTATACGCGCCGCGCGCGCGTCGGGTTATAAATCACACCGACCGCGTATTGTTTGCGGCGCACTCGTAAAAAGATATAATGTTGCGGAATGAACAAGCTGTTGTTGTTGTTGTCGTCGTCGTCGTCGTCGTCGTCGTCGACCGCGTGCGCGACGCTCCGCGGGCACCCCGACAAAATATAGTTTCCAACGCGAAGATCGCGGCCTCTCGCCTTCCCGCGGCCGCGTTAATTAGCGAACTTTATGAATACGCCGGCGCATATTAATCCCGTCATTTCCATACGTCGCCGCGGCGGAGCCAATTCACGTCGGCGTGGCGTAACGGCATTATGAGCGTATTCCATTATTTATAATGTAATCGGGGCCGCACGCTTTTGTAGTCCGGCGCGTTACGTAATTAGCGCGGGGGAATTATCGACGGCGCGATGGCGACGGTGACCGACATTCTGGCAGGGCTAATTTCAGCCCG